AGTCTTGGATGCCTGCCATTCTACTGTTGTCACCCCCAAAATGTTAATCAATTTCATGGCTGAGAATAAATCCATTTCATTTCTTCAATGTGCGGCACAGATGTTTCTCTTTGTTACTTTAGGAACAACAGAATGCTTTCTCTTGGCTGCAATGGCTTATGATCGCTATGCGGCCATCTACAACCCACTTCGGTATTCAGTGAGCATGTCACCCAGAGTCTACGTGCCACTCATTCTTGCTTCCTATGTTGGTGGCATTTTAAATGTTACTACACATACAGTGGCCACATTCAGCCTGTCCTTCTGTGGATCCAATGAAGTTAGACACATCTTTTGTGATATCCCTCCTCTACTAACTATTTCTTGCTCTGACACTCGCACAAACCAGCTGCTACTCTTCTACTTTGTGGGCTCCATTGAGATAGTCACTGTCCTGATTGTCCTGGTCTCCTATGGTTTCATTCTCGTGGCCATTCTGAAGATGCACTCTGCTAAAGGGACGCAAAAAATCTTCTCTACATGTGGCTCTCACCTAACTGGAGTGTCAATTTTTCATGGGACAATTCTCTTCATGTATGTGAGACCAAGTTCCAGCTATGCTTTGGAGCATGACATGAGAGTTTCTATTTTTTACACCATTGTGATTCCCATGCTGAATCCCATCATCTACAGTTTGAGAAACAAAGATGTAAAAGAGGCAATGGAAAGATGGTTTGGGAAAAGTCAGTTTTAAAGAAAGTGTGTTTTCAAAATTGAGTAAAGATGAAGATATTATCAGAGGAGAGGGTCTGGGGAGGTCAGATGCCAGACATGACCCTGTCCTCTACCAAGTTCTTGACTGCCATATGTCATTGGCGATGTTGCTCTGTGCAAATGTATGCAACCATGTAGCTTGGGTGTATATCTTTTGCCTGTCATGTTTTACTTGCTGAAGGACATTAATGTAGGTACAGCAAGTTTTATTAATGATAGTACAGACTCCCCACTGCTTAGCTAGAAGATTGTCTAGGGCCAGGAAACTGTCTAGAACAATGCCAGATAAATAGTCGATGGATGCTTGAAGTTTTTGTATAGCATCTCCTGTTTGGGTTAACTCAGGTACAGTGTTACTCAAATTCCCTAAGGTGACTTTATGATATGAAAATCCTTCCCAGGGAACAGCTAATCCAATAGCTGCAGCAGTACCTGCTAACATTAGGCCAATATCTCATTTTTTCCTGTGTGTCCTATACTAATGATATACTAAACAAGTATACCATTGGGAGTGAAGTTTCCTAAAGTACACCGTCCTGCAGATATCATATTATCTGTGCATGTGTAAGCCCGTGCTTTGAGGGATAAGGAAAAATTTCCTTTCAGGTATACAAAATTTCAGGGCCAATTTCTTGGTGGCCAATTTGAGGAGTCTGCACACAAGAAGACATATCTGGATGGAGCACAGGCCATTTTCAGACAAGTTGTATTGAATTATTTGATTATTTGTGATACCCAACTAGAGGAACTAGAACTGTTACAGTTTGAGAAAGCAGCCCTCCTGACTGGTGAATAATGTCCTTACTCCACAAAGTTTTAAGTCCAGCTTGGGGATATCTAAACCTATTTTCCAAGCACCTAGGGGTAAGCACATCCTTTCTGCACACCACATTTATCTTTGGCATATATCAAACCCCTGATAGAGGTGTTTGTAACAGGGTGCCAATGGGAGTCATTTAGGGTACCAGGACCTGAGAAAGACACAGGGTAATTATTGGGGCAGTCCAGACCTCTTGTCTTATACAAGGGCAGTAGGTTGTATTAAGAATGGTGAAGTTTAACTTTATTTTACATTTCTACATGTGGTATTGTGACGGGGTTTTAGGTTGATACATGTCCTAGGTTTTGTGCTGTCTAGAGGGACTTCGAAGGCTAGTGGACTTGGTTCCCATGATGGAAATGTAGTGTTGAAATCATTCCCATGAGGGAATACACTTTTTGAGTTGGACTAGACATCTTTACTGTAAGTCTTGAAATTACATTCTTTGAGTATTCCAAATTTATTCTTTTTTTCAACATTGGTTAGACTTGCTTAGTTTCTTTGCTTTTTCATATAAATTGTAGAAGCAACTTTTCAATTTTTGAAAATAATATATGTATTTAATTCAAATTGGAATTGCATTGAATTATGTACATGAATTTAGGATTTCAATTAATCAATAAATGGATGAGTCACAATTGGGCTCTCTGCCAATATCAACTTTCCTTTTTTCTTACAGTCAGATTTTATAACCAACATTTTCTATGTACTAACTTAATCTCTGGGTGTGAAGAATAGACAATCATGTATATTGTCCACAATTTTTCCAAGAGTTTCTTATGTACATAGCCAGGCACTAGCTTATACATTAGTATATGGGTTCCTTAAGACAATACCTTATCCAGCCCAAAAAGTTTGATCTTCATCTCTGCCAGAGATCTAGTATTCTACTGTTCTATTGCACAGAATATTACTGTTATCTGTATACCAACCCATCTCTCCTGTCACTATTTCCAATACGTATACTCATATCTTATCTCCTCTATTAAACTCTCTATGAGCTTAAATCTATTTCTCATGCAGCATAAAACTGTAGCACTTTAAAGTTAAATAAGTAAACTTTACTAAAGATTGTAAATTTCATCATAAATTATGCTTCTAATTTATTTTATTATGAGCAATTTATAAAATTTCCAGATAATTCACAGGTTATATTCCTAGAAAAATGAAGCTAGGTTTCAGAGGTTGAGTTTTCATTGGAGTGGCACATAAGTATTTAGCATCAGAGCTGGAAGTATATTTTACATCATTAGATTTCTTTTCTACTGCAGGGCATTTTTTCTTTCTTTCTTTCTTTTTTTTAACCAAAAGCCAGAGTTCGTTTTGTAATCATTTTCATTATACAGTTTCAGATACCATTAACTTGTTTACTATTATAAAAATCACCTTGATACTTTTCTGTCCCAGAGGAACTAATGTCTTTCTTCTCAGGACATCCCTGTGGACTTTAAAAAGCATGTGAGAAACTGGTGTAAGAATCCAAATGCATAATATTCATAATATCCCTTGGCAGAGTGACTGGTATGTTTTCATAGGTAAGAGGAAAGGCTTTTTATCACTTATAAAATACTTTAGAAGCTATAATCTTAACTTTCAAATGAAAGTATATACCTTATATAAATCTGAAAGAGCACATTTTAGTTAAAATTATATTACAAAGTAAATCGCATGCCTTTCAGGATATGTAGAAGTATATATGAGAAGGATAAAAGTAGATATTTTGACCAATAAAGCTGTAAAATTGTAATTTTTTAAAAAAATGGAAGACTAACAGAGAGAAGATGGGGAGTAGACTAATGGGCTATATTTACAATTTGGAAAATAATTGGAGAGAAAATTAAATTTCAACAAACCATTGGATCTATTTAACTTTGGTATCTTTTTTAGTTGGATGATGTAAAGTAACAAATGATTTAAATTTTATTCTTCTATTCAGCTAATTGATTTATCAACAACTTCAATTTCTTTAAAATTTCATTACCTGTTTATACATAGTTTATTTATAAAAAGAATTGAAGTATGCAAGGATATTATATTGTTTCTAGGAATGTTATGTTATCTAAATGTTATGGCATGTCCCAATGAGTCTGCAATATGGTCATGTGGAAATACTGTAAGGGGTGAGCTTAGAGAAACCTGGGCACAAATCCTGACTCTACTATGAAGCAAGTTTGTGACCTCAGTAACATTTTAGGTCTAGCTGGGCCTTAGTTTGTTTTAATCTAGATAAGGATGTTGACTTATTTAGTTTGCAAGTTGCTTTGTAGATTACAAATAATAATTAACACAAAATTTGTAACTAAAAAATATGTGGTCGCTACTATCATACTTTTGTCCCCTACCTTATTGTTTCTAATACTGTTCTCATGGATGACTGATATATTATGATTTTTTAACATGTCTTGAGAAACTGAATTTATTTTAATTTTCTTGATTGATCACATTGCTATAAAAGAAATGATCCATTCATTTGCCTTTCTAGCCAATATCTCTTAAAAATAAATCCACTAGAGATATGCACAAACATTTCTAATATCTTTAATATTAGTTAATAAAATTCCTATTTGAAGAGCAGCTTGAGTGAGGTACCTAAATCTCATACTATTTCTCTTTCATGCCTCCAGTTTCTACAGTGAAGTAAATAAATGCTCTAATGAAACATGATTTGGAATAAAACATAGCTTCATTAATAAACTACCTTGTTGTCTGACAGGGAATATCAGAGATATCAGGTGTTATAAGAAAATTATATTGACAAGAGTATCAGGTGATTTCATTTAGCATGCTATTTATTACAGTCATGGGCCACGTAATGACATTCTGGCCAGCAACAGTAGTCACATAAGGTTATAATGGCTGTGACATATAGCCTAGGTGTGTAGTGTGCTATACCATCTAGGTTTGTGTAAGTATAATCTATAATGTTCTCACAATGACGAAATCATCTAACAATGCATTTCTCAGAACATATCACCATAGTTAAGCAATGCATGACAGTATTTTATTGACATGTCCATAGGAAGAATACAGTGACTGATTCACTTTTAAATTTCATATATGGCAGAATACCAATTTCCCTTTGTTTTATCTCAATACAACATTATTTTAATATATATTTAGTGTCTATAACAATTAGAAGTACAATATAAAAGAAAAAATAACACTTCTGGTTTAGGGGTTTAGGGTCCATTAATCCTTGAATGATTATATTAAAATATTTATTTTATAAATCCCAATTTTTATACTTGCATAAAAAACTTGGAAGTCACATTTCTTATGTATGCATCCTTCACACATGATTGAAACTTCATATAGTAAAACAAGGTATGTATTTACTTTTCGGCCAGTTTTAGTTAACTTCTTCTTCTTCTTTTTTTTTTTTTTTTCCAAATGCCAGGTAAAATTTATTATCAGTTATAGTAGATTACTTTTTCTTAACAGCAAATTGGAAACAATAACATATTTCTTTCAGAGTAGTTTAAAGATTAAAATAAGACAAATTTTAGAGAAGCACCAATAACACGACCAAATGCATAATTAGTGTTCAAGACACATCAATTTTCTTTTACTTTTGTCTGCATTTAAAAATGATACACTGGAGATGGTTTGAAATATTTTCAGAGCCTCAAAAATATTTAGATCATTTTTCTTCACTATTTCTGACTGTTTTAAAATTCTTCAATGGCCTGGGAAGGAGAGAAATTTTAGTAGACACACTACTGATTTCTGTCTGTTCTTAATCTGATAGAATTTTCCGATGTGGAAGGATCACTCTGTCACTAGATTCTAAGTCTTCAATATAGGGTTTTGGATTCCAAACATAATTCTTTTTTAATTTCACAATTGTCTTGTCTCAGACACATCAGGAAAGTAAAGGTTATAATTGTAATGTATCTGAAACTTATCCTATGTATATCACTCAAAATGTATTCTGTAATGAATTCCTTTAATAGACTAGCATTTAGTACATTCCTCAAAATTTATTTGTATATTTTTTCTTTTAATTCTGCTTTTTCCCCATCTGACTAATTCCTGTTTGTCCCTGACTCTCTATAGTAAATATTTATTTTCTTCATGGTAGATGGGTGACTCAATATGACTAAACTGTAGCATGTTTCATATGATGAATATTAATCTATTAATCATTTGTAAGTCACTGAATTTACCCTAGACCTATGTACATCAGAGTTTCCATTCATTTAAAACATGATTGGTTTATGATATGCTGAAGGAAAAGCAAAGTTCACTATGGTGAAACCTGCCCAGAATAATAGGGGATCCAGCATTTAATTGTTTCAAAAACTGAGCTAAAGTTAAATAACTTTAACTTATTTTTACTTTTTTGCTCATGTACTTTTCTTATTTATATTCCATTAACTGAGAAACATCGTGAGGATATCAACGGGAAAAGCCCAGAAATAAAACTACTTTATGGCAAACATAGTGATTTTACTCCTTTACCAATAGCTTCTATACGGTGGTTCCCTTATTCACGTCTTCTCTATCTGCAGTTTCAGTTACAGGTTGCCAACTGTGGTCCTAAATATCAAATAGAAAATTCCTCAAATAAACAACTCATAAGCTTCAAATTGTAAATCACTCAAGTAGTGTGATGAAATTTTGTGCCTTCCCACTCCTTCATGTCTGCGACTTGAATCATCTTTGTCCAGGGTATCCACGCAGTGTATGCTACCCGCCCTTAGTCACTTAGTAGCCTCCTAGGTTTTCAGATTGACTGTCGAGGTATCACAGTCAACCTGTATTCATGTAACCATTA